CCACCCTCTCCTCGCCTCACCCACCCACCCACCAGTTACAATCGCATATTCACCGACGATGGCTACAGCCTACACGAACTAGCAATCAGGCTCGCAGCCTCCCGGCCCCCCTGCACCCCTGCCTCTTTTGCTGCTCCTGGTACTGGTGCTACCGGTGCTTCTTCTGCTGCATCTGCTGGACACGGCACTGGGAGGAAGGGCAGCCTCAAGCGGGGAGGAGAATCCCGAGACTCTCGCGATTCCTGTGAGTCGAGCCCGCGCGTGCATCTCAGCACAGACGGGAACGCGGATGGGCATGCGGACGAGTGCACCAACTGTGGCGATGGCGGCACGCTGCTGCTCTGTGAGACGTGCCCAGGAGCCTACCACCCCGGCTGCGTGGGCCTACCCTCGATTCCCGATTCCGACTGGTTCTGCCCGACTTGTAAGCCGTCTACGGCTTTCTCAAGGCATTTGGCACCGCTCCCCCCAAGCGTGGGCAAGGGGGAGGGCGCAAGGGGGAAGGGGCGGGGCCGGGGCGCCTGGGGGGAGGGGAAGCGGAAGGGGGAGGCGGCGGGGGGGGAGGTGGCGGTGGGGGAGGTGGTGGAGGAGGAAGGGGCGGGGAAGGGTGGGGAGGGGTTGGGGGAGGTGGATGTAGATGTGGAGCGGTGCAGACGGTTGGTGAAAGAGCTGGAGAGTGCAGGGGGAGGGTGCGTGCTGTGCCATTCCGGGTCGCACGACTTTGTCCCATCAGGGTTTGGCCCTCGGACGATCATATTCTGTGATCAGTGCGAGAAGGAGTATCACGTGGGGTGTTTGAAGGAGCATGGGGTGCAGGTGTTAGAGAGGCTGCCTGAGGGGAACTGGTTCTGCTGTGCGGCGTGTGAAGAGGTGTTCAATGCGGTGCAGATGGTTCTGGAGCGGGGAAGCATGCATTTGCCGGATCTGCCGGATTGGGAGGATATGGAAGAGGCTCACCTGCTGGAACCGCAGGCTATGCAGCGTGCTGCTGGTGCTGCTGGTGCTGCTGCTTCTCCTTCTGTTGGTGGTGCGGCTGCTGATGATGATGCTGCTTTGCCAGCAGCAGCAGCATCAGGACAGAAGAATATGAGCGCCAGTACTGGTGTCTGCACCAGCCCCGCTCGCCACTGCTCAACGCCCCCGCTGCCTCCGCCTCTGCCTCCTCCTGCCACGCTTCTCAACACGCCTCAGCAGCATAGCACCTCCTTCCAGCTTCGGGCGGCAACCTTTGACCTGACGCCGAACGCGTCGCAGGGCCGGGCGGCACAGAGCAGGGCGCGGGGCGGCGAGCTGTCGTGGCAGGTGCTGAAGGGGCGGCGGGGCTTGGAAGCTAACGGGCTGACGCTGGGCGGCGTGTGTCAGCTGTTTGCGGAATCGTTTGATCCGATCAAGGATGCATTCACGGGGAAAGACCTCATTCCCCTCATGGTTCGCAGGTAAGGCCCCATCCCCTCCCATGCCGCTCAAGCCATCTGTTTCCCTCTCTCATTCCGCTCTCACTCTCCCCCCCGCTCACACCTTTCTCTCCGCTCTGTGTGAAAAGTGAGTTTTTGAGATGTCTCAAAAACTCACTTTTTACACGTGGTCTCTCATTCCGCTCTCTCCCCCGCTCACACCTTTCTTCCCGCTCCATCAACCCTCCCCTACCCCGCTCTCACCCCACCAGTCGCAGCAGCAGGGAGCACGAGTTTCAGGGCATGCTGTGCTGTGTGTTGAAGCAGCGCGACCGAGTGGTGTGTGCAGCCTGCATCCCTTGCCTCTCTCACCCCTCTCTCACCTGTTTCTCCCCCCACGCCTCTCTCCCCCCTCCCCCACCCACCAGTCGCAGCAGCAGGGAGCACGAGTTTCAGGGCATGCTGTGCTGTGTGTTGAAGCAGCGCGACCGAGTGGTGTGTGCCGCCTGCATCCCTTGCCTCTCTCACCCCTCTCTCACCTGTTTCTCCCCCCACGCCTCTCTCCCCCCTCCCCCACCCACCAGTCGCAGCAGCAGGGAGCACGAGTTTCAGGGCATGCTGTGCTGTGTGTTGAAGCAGCGCGACCGAGTGGTGTGTGCAGCCTGCATCCCTTGCCTCTCTCACCCCTCTCTCACCTGTTTCTCCCCCCACGCCTCTCTCCCCCCTCCCCCACCCACCAGTCGCAGCAGCAGGGAGCACGAGTTTCAGGGCATGCTGTGCTGTGTGTTGAAGCAGCGCGACCGAGTGGTGTGTGCAGCCTGCATCCCTTGCCTCTCTCACCCCTCTCTCACCTGTTTCTCCCCCCACGCCTCTCTCCCCCCTCCCCCACCCACCAGTCGCAGCAGCAGGGAGCACGAGTTTCAGGGCATGCTGTGCTGTGTGTTGAAGCAGCGCGACCGAGTGGTGTGTGCCGCCTGCATCCCTTGCCTCTCTCACCCCTCTCTCACCTGTTTCTCCCCCCACGCCTCTCTCCCCCCTCCCCCACCCACCAGTCGCAGCAGCAGGGAGCACGAGTTTCAGGGCATGCTGTGCTGTGTGTTGAAGCAGCGCGACCGCGTGGTGTGTGCAGCCTGCATCCGCATCTTCGGCCGTCAGCTCGCTGAAATGCCCCTCGTCGCCACCGCCTACTCGCACCGCCGCCGGGTAAGCCCATTAGCCTACAACCTCCCTCCTCGCTCTCCCTGGATCCTTCCTCCCCCTATCCTCTCTTTGTCTTCCTCACCCCGCTCCCTGCTCCTCTCCCTCCTTCCTCCTCTCTCCCCTGCCTCTCCCGTTCCCCTTCCCACCAGGGTCTCTGTAAGGTGCTGCTGAACGCACTAGACGTGCTCTTTTCCCTCCTCGGAGTGAGCAAGTTCTGCCTGCCAGCCGCACCGGGAGCAGAGGGCACGTGGATCAAGGGATTCGGCTTCTCAGTTATGACTGAGGAAGAGGTCACACAGGTGCATCGGGACTTCCCGCTCCTCGTCTTCCCCGGGTCTGTCAGCGTGGTTCGGCGGGTCCCGAACCTGCCCCGGGCCTACCGCAAGGCTGCCGAGCTTCAGGTGTTTGGTGCGGTTGGGATGGCACCGCTGCCGCAGTTGGAATCCTTCCCCCTGTTATTGCCACCCTCGGTACAAGACATGGCAGGGGACACAGCACAAGAGTCGTCGCAGAAAGGGAAAGACGGGCCTGCAGGTGAACGAGGTGAGGAGGGAGCAGGGGCTACTCGAGAGCAGGGAGGAAATGCGGTGGATACAGCAGCTTTGGCATTAGGCCATGAAGGTGCTGCTGCTACTCCTGCTTCTACTGCTTCTATCTGTGCTCCTGCTCTTGCTTCTACTGCTTCTATCTGTGCTCCTGCTCTTGCTTCTACTGCTTCTATCTGTGCTCCTGCTCTTGCTTCTACTGCTTCTATCTGTGCTCCTGCTCTTGCTTCTACTGCTACCGCTACAGCTGTTGCCACGGATGGTGCTTCTGATCGTGCTGCTGCTGATACGGCTCTCCCTGCTGTGATGGCGGCTGTAGCAGCTACAGCTGCAGGGCAAGTGGATCCTGCTACAGCCGGTGTGGTGGTGATGTCTGCGGCAGGGGAAGCAGAGGGCCTGGCAGCAGGGGGTGGTGTGAAGGGTGTGGTGGTGATATCTGGGGCTGGGGAAGCAGGAGTGGTGATAGAAGCAGATGGACGGAGGGAGAGGGAGGGAGAAGGAGCAGCACGAGGAGATGAGACTATGGGAGGGGAGAGGAGAGAGGGGAGGAGACAAGCTGAGGGGATTGGAGAGAGAAGAGGAGAGGAGGGAAGAGAAGATGAAGAGTGTGAGGTTGAGGTGGTGGAGGAGGGAGAGGGAGGGGAGGGAGGGGAGGCAAAAGAGAGGAGTGAGGGTGAGATAGAGAAGGCGGAAGGAGTAAGCAAGCCTTTACATGATGAGGAGAGGGCGCGGCAGGTGTGTGTGGCTTGTGTGCCTTGGGAGGAAGTGACAGAAGCAGAGGTGGACGAGGAGGAGAAGGAAGAAGAGGAGGAAGAGGATGAGGATGAGGATGAAGATGAGGAGGAGAAAGATGATGGGGAAGACGAGGAGGCGGTGGTTATTGGGAAGATGCAAAGTTGTGGTGATGGGTCTGGGAGGCGTGAGAGGGAGAGGAATGGGATGGTGGGGGATAAGCAGCAGGTGCATGCGCTCTTTGTGGTGGCGATTGAAGAGAAGAGCTATGACCCCTCCGTTTGGGATGTGGGGAGGAGTGAGGAGGAGGAACTGAGATTTAGTGGTGAGGAGAAGGGAACGAGAGTGGGTGACAAGGAGGAGGAAAAGAGGGTGATTGGTGAGGAGGGAGGTAGGGGGAGTGATGGGGAGGAGCAGAAGGGGATATGTGATCTGAAAGGGCAAGAGGAAGAGAGAAGGAGAAAGAAGAGACACGTGTCATTTGCAAGTGACTCGCTGGGACCTGATGCGAGTGGTGCTGACGTGGATGCTGCTGATGTGGACAGTGCTGACATGGCAGGTGCTGACGTGGCAGGTGCTGACACGGGAGGTGCCGGCATGGATGGTGTCGACAAGGGAGGGATGAAAGAAGCAGTGACCCTTGATCCTTCCATCTCTCCTTCCACCTCTGCTGCACGCACACGCCCTCACCACCCTACACCCGACCCCACTCACTCCCACCACTCACCACCCCATTCGCCACGTACCCATTCAACCACCCATCCTTCACTCACTAAAAGCACTGCAAGCATCCCAGTCCCTGCAGTCACTGCAAGCACTGCTCCCATGGAAACGCCTCTCAGTGGCAGTGACATTCCTCTTATTGAAGTGCTGCAACCACGGGCGCGTGAGTATGGGGATTACCGCGCCTCCCAGGGCTGGGATCGACACACCCTCCCCATCTGCCTCGCCCTGCCTGCCGCTCCCCCTCCCCCTGCCGCTGCTGCTTTCCCTGCTGCTGCTGCCAGTGCTGCTGCCGCTGCTGCTGCTGTTGTTGGTGCTGCAGCCGGTGCTGGTGCTGCTGGTGATGATGGTAGGGTGAGCATTCAGTATGTGAGGAAGCGCAAGGCAATGGAAAGTGCTGGTGTAGGTCCTGCTGCTGCTGCTGCTGCTGCTGCTGCTGCTGCTTCTGGTGCCGCTGCTGTTGCTACTGGTGCTGTTGCTGCTACTGCTGGTGTTGGTGCTAGTGCTGGTGGTGCTGCTGCTGTTGCTGCTGCTGCTGCTGGTGCTGCTGTTGCCCTTGCTGCTTTTAATGCTACTGCTGGTGCTGGTGCTGTGGCAACTACGAACGAGCAGGCAGGGGAGGAAAGAGAGGCGAAGCGCGCGAGGTGGGGCGATTATTCTCAGGAGCAGACCAGAGGCCAGCAACAGGAAGTGCAGGGCGGGCAGGCGAAGCAGAAGCAGCAGGGGGACAAGGGGGGGTTAGGGGAGCAAATAGAGGTAAACGGGGAGCAATTAGGGGGTAACAGAGAGCAATCGGGAGAAATGGGGGAGCAATTGGGGGAGAAGGGGGAGGAATCGGGGGCAAAGGGGGAGCAATTGGAGGAGAAGGGGGAGCAATGGGGGGGACATTCGGTAAAGCATTTGGGGGAGCAATCGAAGCATGGTGACACAGCCATTACTGTTACGGCAGGAGAAGAAAGCAAGCCGTTTCTTCTATCTAACAAGAGAAAGAGACAAGAGAGGAGGAGGCTTAAAAGAGTAAAGGGCTGGGGTGCCGTGCTTGGGTTTGGGAGGCCCAACCGGGAGGAGGGAGGGAAGGAGAAACTCCCAGAAGGTAGTTTTCTGGAGAATAAGCACTTGGAGAATAAAAAACGATCTGCTGTGAAAGTATCAGAGGGAGTGGAGACAGAACAGGTGGACGGGAGAGAAGCTGATGAGATTCTGAGAGCACTGGAGGGTGGTGATGGGGTGAGCGCGAGGGGGGGGGGTAGTGATGAGAGGGAGGAAAAGGGGGACAGGGAGGAGAGCGAGGGGAGTGAGGAGCTTGAGGGAGGGAGAGCAAAGAGGAGGCGGGTTGGGAAGAGGAGTCGGGTGAGGAGCAGGCGAGTGAGGGGGAGTGGGGCAAGGGGGAGGGGGCGGAGGAGGGTAGTGGAGGAGAAGAAGGAGGTGGAGGAGGAGGAGGAGGAGGAGGAGGAGGAGGAGGAGGAGGAGGAGGAGGAGGAGGAGGAGGAGGAGGAGGAGGAGGAGGAGGAGGAGGAGGAGGAGGAGGAGGAGGAGGAGGAGGAGGAGGAGGAGGAGAAGGAGGCTGAGGAAGATGAGGAGGATGAGGATGAGAAAGAGGAGGTGGAGAGTGGGGATGGGGATGAGGAAGAGGAGGTGGAGGGTGGGGATGGGGAAGCGGAGGAAGAGGATGGGGATGAGGAAGAGGAGGTGGAGGAAGGGTTTGAGGAGCTTTTTGAGATTGTTGAGGAGGATAGAGGATGGGGCATGTCTGGTGGAGCAAGGCGGGGGAAGAGAGCAGCGAGGGCGAGAAGAGATAGTGGCAGGCGTGATGATGGGCAGGGGAGGAGCAGGATGACAGCCGAGGAGGCGGAGAGGAGTTGTGAGGAGGAGGGGAGTGGTGATGAGGAGGAGATTAGAGAGGAAGGGAGTGAAGAGGAGGAGGGGTGGGGTGGGAAGGAGGAAGTGAGTAGCATGAGTGGGGAGGGATGGCGAGGGGAGAGGAAGCAGACCGGGTTGGATCTTTTAATGAGGCGAGCAAGTGAGAAGGATGAGAAGGATGAGAAGGACGGAGGGAAAGAGGCGGAGGAGGGTGAGAGAGGGTTGATCATGGATAATGGAGTGGAAGGGGTGATGGATGGTGTATTGCGGTTGAGAAGCACAGAGGAGGTGACTAACGCTGCAGTGCGGTGTGGGGAGGGGGCGGGCAGGGGTGCTCGTCGTGCTAGGAGGGGGAGAGGGCGGCACAAGGAGAGAGAGGGTTGTGACGAAGGGGACTGGAATGGTGGGGACGAGAGTGGGTTTGTGGGGGACAAGGCAAAATGGGGGAAATTGGAGGCGAAAGAATCAAGAGGAGGATTGAAAGAGGAGGAAGAGGAGGACGAAGAAGGGGAAAAGGAGGAAGAGGAGGAAGAGGAGGAGGAGGAGGAGGAGGAGGAGGAGGAGGAGGAGGAGGAGGAGGAGGAGGAGGAGGAGGAGGAGGAGGAGGAGGAGGAGGAAGAGGAGGATGAGGAGGAAGAAGAGGAGGAGGAGGATGAGGAGGAAGAAGAGGAGGAGGATGTATATGAGCCTGATGATCGAATTGCTGCTGGGTCAGGGAGGGGGAGAGGGAGAGGGAGGGGCAGGGGAAGGGGGAGGGGTAGGGGGAGGGGCCGGGGCAGGGGTAGAGGCCGGGGCAGAGGGAGGGGCAGGGGCAGAGGAAGGGGTATGACAAGCACGAGAAAGGAGAGAAGAGAGAGTGAACAGAAGGGAGAGGATGGTGACTTAATTGATGAAGCAAGCGGTGGCGAAGGAGAGGAGGAGGGGAGTGAGTCTGGGGAGGAAGAAGCAGAGGGGGAAGAGGACTGCTATTCGCCTGAGGGGAGAAGTACCATCCAGTTGGGGAGGCGGAGAGGCAGGGGGCGGGGGAGGGGGAGAGGTCGGGGCAGAGGCAGGGGCAGGGGCAGAGGAAGGGGAGGGGTGCTGAAAGGTACTGATGGTTCTTATAATGATGTTGCTTATACTGATGATGCTCTTGGCCGGCCTGTGGAAGATGCTTCAGGGCTTGGGGAGGGTGAAGGGCAGGAGAGTGGGGAGAGAGGGGGTGATGGGGAGGGAGATGTTGGATCGGGGAGTGAGAGTGAGGGCAGTGAAAGGGATGAGAGTGATGGTAAAGGGGGAGAAGCAGGGGTAGGGAGAGGAGGAGCAGTGGGGGGGATAGGAGGAGCAGTTGATGGGTTGGAGAAAGGTAGGGGGAGAGGCCATGGGGTAGGGAATGGTAGCGGGCTAGGGAGAGGGCGAGGCAGGGGGGTGGCTATAGGGGGGGTGACTGTGGGGAGAGGGTATAGGCAGCAGGTTATGTTCGCCGGGCAGAACGGCAAGTTGGAGCTAAGAACAAAGCCGGATTGACTACGGAATGTATTTGGGGCAGGGAATGTATTTGTTCACATTGTTCTGTCATACCATTTGGAGCTGACATGCAGTAGTGTGAGCAATGGCACAAATACCTTAAGTGCTTACGGTAATTAATTAACATGTGGCTAACATGAATCCTCCCCACCTCAGCACCCCTGTAATTCCATCCTGTCCCTCAAGCACAAGGGCCTCTGCCAATTGCCAACGCGTCTGGACTGAATGGTGAACATAATCAACCCTGCCTTCTTACTGCCTCAGAATCAGAACAACTGTCCTGAAGGTGGTCGCTAAAGATCCCACCCAAGGGACGTACGGTATTATATATTGCTACTAAAAAAGGCTACCTCAGAAGTGGCTAACATAAGTGTATCAAAAGTGTCTATCAGAAGCGGCTGTGGCTGTCGTGAGAGTTGCTGTCAGCCATTTGGCGAAGGTCCCAAGACGATGCACTCGGCACGCGGTAGCGCCGCAGAATCTGCGCATTCGACTGGAGGCATGCACATGTGCGTGTGTATGTGTGTTCAGGTGCAGATTCGAGCATTAATGTTGGGGAAATGAAAAATAAATTAATGTTTAGCTGCAGAGGAATCATCAGGCAGGCTCAGAAAAGCTGGGCTGACAAGCCTGAGGCTCGTATCTCTTCAACACAGTGCGATCCAAACCAAACCGCTCACCTTCCTTTTGAGTCGACTCAAAGTTGCCTCACTGGGCTGACAAGCCTGAGGCTCGCATCTATCAAACCCAGTGAAATCCGACCCAAACCGCTCACCTTCCTGGCAGCTGCCATGTCAATGGCTATGATCCGCCCGTCTTCCAGATCGAACCGAACGAACGGCCCAGATGTCTCGAACACGGCGTCTTTGAGCTGGCGAATATTGTCCACCTCCATCCCATTCACCTTGAGCACCTGGGGATGCGGGGGAAGAGAGGGAGGGAGGGGGGGGATGCAGGGGGGGAGAGGGAAAGGGGAGGTTTGAATCGACTAGAAACACGCCCGGATGTTATCCACCTCCATCCCATTCACCTTGAGCTCCTGGTGGGTGCACGAGGGGAGGGGACAGGTTGGAGGAGAAGAGGGAGTACGCAGGGGAGCAGAGGACAGGGGGTGCAGGGGGAGAAGACAATGAGGGGGGAAAAGGTGAGGTTGAGGGATGGTGGTTGGAGGAGTGAGGTAAAGCAGCACCTGCGAGCACCAGGGCTACCAGTGTGCAGGCTTGCCGTACCTCGGCTACCAGGTGCAGTGCCTAGGACCCAGCCCTTCAAGTTTCACTTCACCAGTTTTTGAGGTGCCTCAATAGCAGACCCAAACTTCATCTCACGTGCAAGTCTGCCAGACGCTCATAATCACTGGGGCTTGTCAGGGAGTATCCATCTATCCATCCAGTTGCACACGTGGAAAAAGATTATGTTTGAGACGTCTTTTGAGTCGACTCAGAAGTCACCTAGGTAGCACACGTGGAAGAAGATGATATTTGAGGCGTCTCAAAAATCCTCACCTGCAGGTCTGCTAGTCTCTCGTACCCACTGTTGACCTCGTCTGGCAACACCTGGTGTGGTGGCACATGCGGAGGGGAGAGAGGGGCGGGCACGGAGGAAAGGGAGGAGACAGGGTGATGTGTGATGATGAGACTGGGTGCAGAGCAGAGGGAAGATGTACTTATTCTGAAGATCAGGGAGTACTCTTTCAAAAGAGAATGTCACATCCAGATTGAGCCTGGTTCCACCCATTTCCGGCCCTCTCAACCGTTCCACACCACATCTCCCGTGATCAGATGCAGACCTGTCAACTGGGAATTCCTCAGGTGTTCAGCATCCAGTGCAGGTAGGGCTGGGAGAGTGGCATGAAGACGAGCATGAATCTTGGAAACTCCTGAAACTCACCCGAGAGAGGATGATGATCTGCTGCCCGAGTTTCTCGGGCAGGTTACGGAGTGCGAGGTCGCAGAGGCGGCGGGGGGAGGAGTGGAGCCAGTCGGGCCCGTACTCATGCAGGTAGGGCTGGGAGAGCGGCATGAAGACCAGCCCTGCGAATATGAAGTAGCTTGGCGCGCTGTCAAACTGCTGCGCTGGCACCAACGGGGGGAGCTGTGGGGAGGGGGGAGGGGGGAATGTGGGTGCGAGGTAATAGGGAGGGGAGGAGAGCGACGGGAGGAGATTTTTGGTGTACCGAAGAGGTGGAGAAAGCATGTGGTGGTTGGTGGCCATGTCAGATGCGGTCAGTGCAACGCACGTGTACCACATGTCATGGCAAACGGTCATATCAAAGTGCATGTATCACACATCATACCGGATTGACGGTCATGCCGAAGTGCATGAGCTGCCCTCCTCGGTACATGGACTGTTAGAAATGTGTGTATAGCATGCTAAGTATAAAAGGGGTTGGGGCTACACCCAACTTTGGGTGTAGCTTGCTTTGTAGGCCTACACCCAACTTTGGGGTGTAGACTTGCAAGTTGGGGTGCCAATCCAACCCACAAGTGTTGGAGCCCCCAAGTGCAACTTGGGTGCCCCCCCTCTTGCAACCCACAAGTTGGGTACCCCCCCTCTTGCAACCCACAAGTTGGGTACCCCCCCTCTTGCAACCCACAACTTGGGTACCCCCCCTCTTGCAACCCACAACTTGGGTACCCCCCCTCTTGCAACCCACAAGTTGGGTACCCCCCCTCTTGCAACCCACAAGTTGGGTGCCCCCCTCCTTGCAAGTTGCCATAGGGACTACCCAACCACCCACATTTCCCCCTTCCCTTCCAAGATCCTCTTGCATCCTATGTATGCTCCCCTTTCCTCTTTTGAGGCGCCTCAAAAGTATGTATGCTCCCCTTTCCTCTAATGAATTCAATCATTCACTTTACAATCTTCACACGGACACCATCGCCCTCTCCCCACTGCCCTCGAGCGACATCAGATAGCGGCACTCAAATGGCAGAGACAGCCCGTGCCTATCAACCTTCACGTTACACGCCTATCAGCCCGAGACTGCCCTATCAGTGCGTGGTGTGGTAATCCAACATACCGGATTGACAGTCAAATCGAAGTGCATGAGCTGCCCTTCCCGGTACACGGACACCATCGCCCTCTCCCCACTGCCCTTGAGCGACACCAGGTAGTCAAACGGTAGGCGCTCCCTCTTGCGGAACAGCACTGCCACGCAGGGAGGCGCAGTGGAGGGAGACGAAGGGGGAGAGATGGAGAGTTGGAGAGGAGTGGGTGAGGGTGAGGGTGAGGGTGAGGGAGGCGAGTGCATGTCGACTCAGATGCCTTTCTTTCAGTCACCAGAGCCCCCATAAACAATGGCCACGCAGTCAAACGCGGCCAGCACGTCGACCTTCTTGAGCCACCGGCTGCTCTCACTCAGCGGCTGCACCGCGTTCACGAGCACACCCGTGGCGGAGGGGGGTAGGCGCAGGTGGGCGCGCAGCTGCCAGTTGTCAAGCGGCTGGCACGCCATGCCCAGCGAGGAGAAGCCGTGTCTGTATTTAGGGTCTTGAGGCGCATAAGAAGTCCTCTTTCACACTCACCTGACCCATCATCCGCTATTGGGACGCAGTCGAACGCAGTGAGCACGTCATCCTTCTTGATCCACCGGCTGCTCTCACTCAGCGGCTGCACCGCGTTCACGAGCACACCCGTGGCGGAGGGGGGCAGGCGCAGGTGGGCGCGCAGCTGCCAGTTGTCAAGCGGCTGGCACGCCACGCCCAGCGAGGAGAAGCCGTGGAAGCGGCGGTGGTGCAGCGCTGCATCGTGCAGGAAACGGTGGATGATGGGCGTGGGTACTATGTAGCTGGGAGGGGGGGGAAGGGAGGAAGAGGGGAAGAGACGGTGGTGGTGGTGCATGGGGACTATGTAGCTGGGGGAATGGGGAGGGAGGAAGAGGGGAAGAGGAGGTGGTGGTAGTGCGTGGGTATGATGTATATGTCAGAAGAGGGCATACCTAGGGAACTATGCTGTGGGGGAAAGGGGGAAAGTGAAGTGGGGGAGAGGAGTTGCACTCACCCGATGTTCTCCGCGCCAGTGAGGTTCTGAAACGCCACCCCCACCACGCGATACTCCACCCTCATTGCCTTTTAAGGAGCCTCCAAGCTTAACCAATGTTTCGACAATGGGGGGGGTTGCTCATCTCACCCACTGTGCTTTGCTCACCCGATGTTCTCCGCGCCAGTGAGGTTCTGAAACGCCACCCCCACAACACGGTACTCCACCCTCATCGCCACCGGCGCAGCCCGCGCTGCCGCCTCCTCTGCTGCCCGCTCCGCCTCTATCTCCGCCCACCCTCCTCCCACCCCCAAGTCCTCCTCCCCCTCCTCCCCCTCCCGCTCCTCCCGCCCATCTTCGCCCCCTAGCCCCAGCATCCCATCCCCGCCCTCGTCCCCCCAGCCCAGACCCTTTATGCCGGGTGAATCGCTCTCCTCCTCCAACACTGATCGCCGCTCCATCCCCCCTGCCCTCCCACCAGACTCGCCCAGCAGCTGTGAAGGCATCAGATCCCTGCCGCTGCCACTGCCACCCCCGCTGCCCCCGCTTCTGCTTGTCTCTCTACCACCACTACGGCTGCTGCTGCTAGTGTACGCGCCACCAGCATTAGCAGCAGCACTGCTGCTACTGCTGTCTGCTGCCATGACGGGCACGTGGGTCATGACGAGGGCGGGCCCACCACTGTTGCCAGGGTTGATAGCCGCGTCGATCTGGATGGCCAGCAGGTGCGCTCCGCTGTGCGCGTACTTGGTGGGCTCGACCCGGGACACTACCCCCATGCTGATGCTGATGTTGTCGCCTCCTGGGGGGGTTGGTGGGTGGGTGGGAATCAGGTGGAGAAGGGAGGGTTGATGGCTGCGTCGATCTGAATGGCCAGCAGGTGTGTCCCACTGTGTGCGTACTTGGTGGGTTCCACTCGTGATACGACTCCCATACTGATGCTGATGTTGTCGCCTCCTGGGGGAAGAGGGAGGAGGGAGGTGTGGGAGAGAGGTAGGCGTGGGAGAAGGGATGGTTGGGAGATGTGCGCGTGCTGAATGGACTCAACTCTCAACCCATTACAACACGCACACCCATGCTCATGCTCACCACAGCCACACCCTCTCACCTTGCGAGGGACGGTTACAGATAGGAAGGATGCACGAAACTTCTCACCTTGAGGATACCCCACCACGGCCACTGACTCCTGCAGCTGAGGCACATCCCCCAGAGGCAGCGGGTTCAACCCTGCCCAAAACTCCTCATTCCCCCCCGCTCCTCCCCCTCTCCCCACCTCCCCCCTTCCCCCCATCCCCATCCCCATGTCCCCCCCCATCCCCTTCCCCCCGCCCATCCGGCTCCCCAGCCCGCCTCCGCCCCCTCTCCCCATCCCCCCGCCCCCGAAATCCCCCATGGCACCCCCTCCGCCGCGTCCCCCTGCCCCTGCGCCGCCCTTATCGTCCCCAAATCCGTGGTCGTGATCATGCTCGTGCTCATGGTGCCCTCCCCTTCCCCCCATGCCTCCGCCCATGCCCCCTCCCCCTGCGCCTGGCTCCCCCACTGTCAGCAGCGCCAGGTCGCACTCGTGCGCCACTGCTTGCACCTGGTGGGGGAAAGAGGGGGAGGGGGAGAGGGGGGAAAGTGCGGAAGCAGGGGGGATTTCAAAGGGAGAGGAGGGGGATGCGCCAGGTCTCGTGCGAAACTGCTTGCACCTGGTGGGGGGGAACGGGGGTGGGGGGTAGAGGGAGGGGAAATGGGGTCGGGACAGGTTGCAGTGATACGCCACTGTTTGCACTTTCCTCACTCCCCCTCCCAAACTCACTCCCCCTCCCAAACTCACTCCCCCTCCCAAACTCACTCCCCCTCCCAAACTCACTCCCCCTCCCAAACTCACTCCCCCTCCCAAACTCACTCCCCCTCCCAAACTCACTCCCCCTCCCAAACTCACTCCCCCTCCCAAACTCACTCCCCCTCCCAAACTCACTCCCCCTCCCAAACTCACTCCCCCTCCCAAACTCACTCCCCCTCCCAAACTCGCACCTGACTCACTGCACGCACCTGACTCACTGCACGCACCTGCACGAGGCACTTCTCACCCCCAGCTCAACCTGCCTCCCTCACGTCCCCTCCTGCACACATACACGCACTTCCCACCACGCACACACCCTCCCGCACTTCCTGGACGGCTCACCTGAGCGAGGTACTTCTTGGGCGAGCCGTGCTTCCTCACCAGCACGAACGCGTCGTGGTACCTCCCAACCCCATCCCAACCCTTCTCACCTTCCCTCACGCCCCCTCCCTCCCTCCCTCCTCCCTTCCCACACGCTCTCACCTGAGCGAGGTACTTCTTGGGCGAGCCGTGCTTCCTCACGAGAACCAAGTCCTGGTGGTGGTACCTCTCAACCGCAACCCACCCTTCTCAATTCCCCTCACGCCCCCTCCACGCACCTGAGCGAGGTGCTTCTTGGGCGAGCCGTGCTTCCTCACGAGCACGAACGCCTGGTGGAACCTCTCAACCGCAACCCACCCTTCTCAATCCCCCTCCAGGCCCCTCCCGCACGCACACACACTGCCTGCACACACGCACCTGAGCGAGGTACTTCTTGGGCGAGCCGTGCTTCCTCACGAGCACAAACGCCTGGTCGGCCACGATGTGCGCGCTGGTGAGGATCCGACGGCCCATAATCACGAACCCTGCTCGCCCGCACCAATGCAGACACGGGAAAGTTGGGGAGAAGGGGGCGTTGTGTGAGGGGAAGGGAAAGGGAGTGGAGAAAGGGGGGGGGGGGGGGGGGACAGTGAGTCTGCGAGAGGGGGTGCGGAGGTGCGTGCAGGCGGAGGGACCGACGTGGCTGAACACAGGAAGCAGCAAGAAGAGGAGCGTGTGCAGGACAGCCAGGAGGGGTTCCGAGAATCCAGTTGGAATTAACTCAACGAGGGACACTGAGGGAAGGAACTTGGAAGTCGAATCTAATCCCACACCTGAGCCGGTGACCTCGCGCTGCGGTTTGTTCTGCCAGGGCAGGCGGTAGTTGGGGCTGCTCCCCACGGCGAACACCTTCACCACCGAATCCAACACTGCCTCCTGATCGTCCTCTGGTAAATGGTCGTCCTCTGCTGGCGCCGCCTCCGCGCCTTCCGCCTCCGCGCCTTCCCCCGCGCCCGCGCCCGCGCGGAGGTCGTCCCGCGGACCCGGCAGCATGAGCGCCTGCGCGGAAGGGCCTTCCCGCCCCAAGCCCATGCCCGCGGCCATGTCGCCGAGCCCTGTGTCGCCTCTCTCTCCCCCCTCCCGGTCCGTGCTCAGACCTCGCCTGAGGAACCACGCCGAGAGGGAGTCAGAACCCGGACCTGCGACAGCAATGGAAGACGCCGAGCCTGAGTCTCGGTCCCCAGGCCAAGAGGCTCGGGGAGGACGGGTGGCGGCGGAATGGCAGTGAGGAGGGAGAGGGGAGAAGGCTCGGGAGACCTGCGAACGGTCATGGAGAGAGCTCCGTAGGGCATCGGGTGTGGGGTTTGCGGCTGCGATCGGGTTCGAGTTCCTGACAGCGACTCGGTGCAGAGTGGTTCTGTGAGGTATCAATGATGGGTTTGGCGACGTGCTTTCGTCGGTGTGGCGTTGGGTTGACGCTTTCGAATCGCCATAGGCTGAGGAGGAATAAGCGGCGGCAAATGCGGAGAGGTTGACAGTCCTGAGGACGGCCCATGACAGCTGGCAAGCGACAGATGGCAGATGGCGACACGTCAGGTGGGATATGATTGGTGATGGATTAACCACCGCCATTGCTGCAAACTCATTCGAAATGTTTTTTTTTTTTTTTTTTCCGTCAAGAGGCTATGAACAAGCCAGTGGCGTATGCTAGCAACTCTCAAAATATGGGGACACAGCCAGGGAGCCAATCGCGTGGTTCGTATCAGCGCGTATTCTATTCTGAAGACGCAACATCTCGCACCCCGCAATCGGAACAGTCGATGGTCAGTCTAGTTTGAAAAGTTCCGTATAGCGGACAGCCGTCCTGGTCCAGTTAGAAAATGCGGAGCCGGGAAGACCAGAAATTTATGGAGAGGTTTCTGCTTGCAATAGAGACCAATGCGGTGAAGTCAGTTGTCTCGTCTCATCAGAGAGTCTGCTCTGCTGCACCACACCTACAGGAATTTCCCTGTCCAAAAAATCCAGCACGCAAGAACGGTCTGGTCTGGTTTGTTGCGTTTCAAAACACTCTGCACACGATAACCGTGGATGAAGTGCGGTTGCACCTCCTGCTTTGATTCTGGCTGCATGGGTGGGCCTGTTAGAAGGAAAGGAGGGTTGACTGACAGCCAAGCCACGTCGATCAGGTACACTGATTGGAGAGCCCTCGATATTATCGTAGATGTAGTACACCCGCTCCAGCAATCCAAGCCGAGGAAAACACGTGTCGAGTCGGATCGGGTGGAGGTCTCTCCCCAAGTCAAACCTGGCTCGAGCTTATGTGGCAATGAGAAAATCTGGGGCCAATGGAGCATCCTTGATTTCCTGTAAAAGCGGGTGCACTACAGTGCACTATACAGGTCGTCGAGGCTTGTGCTACAGTGATGCTTCTGCTGAATCAAATGTCTCGTTCGGTCTTGCATAAATCATCCAAGTTTACCTTCCCAAATAGAGCTTTTCACCTCTAACTGAACTGCTGGCTGAGTTTCGACCCACCCAGCTTTTTCAAGAAAAGGAGGCCAACAACAGCCAGTCATGGGACGAATGAGATTTAATTAACTGGATGGCGAAATTATCTACTGCACAAAACGTTTCTTGCTTGCATTTACTATCGAGTCGTTCACCGTGTGCCAAGCAGATGAGACTTCAACCAAAGAGCAGAAGCTGCTCCAGTCGAATGCCAAGAGTGTTCGCCACCTGCACGCCCCATGCAAAACGCACCAAAAGCACACAGACACGAGCATTAGGCATAACCACGCACAATTTCAATGAGCACCAGGCAAAGCATTAAAGGCAAAAAATCCCCTCATTCAACCCCCCCCCCCCCTCCCCTCCCACACCCCCTCCATCACCTCCCTGGATTCCTCCCCTAGCCACCCCTCTGAACTCCCTTCCATCTGCCCCATTCCTCCTCTTAAAGCATCGTACCTGCTTCACCAGTTCCTTTCTGGCACTGCACTTGAAGCGTGTTGTGCCTGCCAGCCTGTCTTCCGCTGACTGGCTCACCAGCCCACTGTGAATCAGAGTCGCGAGCTGAGTCAGCAAGCTGTCATCCACAGCAGGAGCTGACTCAGCAGCACCACCACTAGAAACCAAGGCGAGAGGAGAGGACCAATGAGCTTTCACCAAGTGGTGAGCCATGAGCAGCCAGCGAGAAAGCGGGAAGGGAATGGGGCCGTGCTGCTGAGCCTCCCTGGCCTCTCTAGCCTGCTTGTCTAGATCTCCTGCACTTGCCTTCCTCTTCCTCCTGGACCGAAACCCATGTCCACCAGGCTGTGCGGAGTCTGAGAAGTTAAAGAGAGTCACATCGGATGGCGCTGGGTTGCGGGAGCAGGTGAATGCTGCTACAAGGGCGAATCGAGTCATGATGGGAAGATCTGGAACGTCCATTGGAGCTCCAGCAGTAGCAGCAACAGCAGGAGTATCCATGACTGAGGAGCGCACGAGGGTTGAAACGGGCTGCTTGAGTGTGGCTCCTATGTGCTCCTGTGCTCGCATGTACAGCAGGCGCGCACAGCTGGGATGGTCGGGGGACACAGATCCTGTGGCAATGGGAGCGGTGTAGAGCGGCCAGGAGTGGTCCACGAGCGAGGCGAGGTGTGGCAGGGAGCGACAGGCCCGGGAATACACCGGAACCACCTGCCTGGGGTGGGGAACGTCGGGTTGAGAAGGTTGATGAATGGCAATACAGATTGAAACACTCGTGGATGGGAAAAGATCTGACACAGGAGGTTAACAGACAGGGCAGGGAGAGAAGGAGAGAAGGGGAGGGTCCAGGTGGAAGGATTGTGAGAGTAGATGTGCGAGAAGGGATGTGGTTGAATGAAGTACCTGAGGAAGGAGAGGAAGAGCGGCTGATTCGGCCTCATCCCCATGAGAACAGTTTCCAGTTCCTTGTCACTGTACGGTGGGAAGAACACCGTCACCGGCTCACATGCCGCCACTGCCATAGCCGCTGCCGCCGCTGCTGCCCCTCCCCCTCCCCCCCCCCTCCTCCCCAACCTCCTCCCCACCCTCCCCCCCAGCTGCCCCCACCCCCCATCCCTGCAGCGCCAAGGCCACAAGTTGATGCCCAATCCAGTTTGCTCACTAGAATTAGTCCTAAGTTGGACTGCCCCAACAGTTCGGGCAGGCGGAGGAAAGTTTCCAGCAGCTGCGGGCCTTCCCCAGCAGGGAAGGCTTTGAGCTGCTCCAGGTTGTCTATAACGAGGTACACTGTAGTAGCATCAATACAGGGCTTCACCAAGCAGGCTTGAGGCTCCTTATCAGCCACAGAAATAGGGCTGCACTGCAGGCCCGTAAAAGCTGCCCCCCTCTCACAGGCAGCCTGCTTCCTTCCGACTGCCACTTCAGTGCCCTCTGCACCTGCGAATGCAGCAGCCAAGGAGCGCCGTGTACTCGGGTGGGTGGGGCCTCCCCTCTCCCCTCCTCCACCCTTGTGCTTTTCTCTACTGCCGGGCATTTTCTCTGGCACCCGCACGTCCTGCAGCATGTGCTGCTCCATCTGCTCGTCCTGCTGCTGCTGTACTACCCGAGTCTCTACCGCAACAGGACCCACCTCGATCACATCGTCATCCTCTTCGTACCCCGCGTCCTCCACCTCTTCACCCCCATCCTTCTGCCCCTCTATCTCTGCTCCTCTCTCTTCTCCCTCCATCTCGAATCCCGCCTCCTCTCCTCCTTCCTCCTCCCCGTCCTCGCTCCTCACTTCCCCCTCCTCCATCTCATCCGCGGGTCCCAAAACCCCAGCCTGCCCACCGCTGTTCATCACGAACCACAGCCCACTCGCTCTTCCCCTCTCCCGCTCTTGGGTCGCATCATCCGCCTCTGCCTGCGTGTGCACCGTGGGCCGTTTCGCATGGCGGGGCGACGCTGGCGGCTGCTGCGCTGCCCTCTTGTTTCGCAGCGCTGTGACCTCATGCTGCGACGCACACTCTCGTGCTGCCTCCTCATGCCCTCTTGGACTTAGCTCGTTGCCGAGCCAATCCTTGTCACGGTCTGATTCCTGGTGCGCTATCCCAGCAGTAGCAGCCATAGGAGTGACAGTAACAGACGAGGAAGCAGATAGTCTGCTTCGAAGCATCCCTCGAGTGATTCTCCTCTCCTCCTCCCCTTCCCATGAAATCACAACCTCTTTTGTCTTCTTCCCTTCTCCTCCCACACACACTGCACCATCTGCGCCCTTACGTCTCTTCCTTCTCTCCACTCCTTCCTGATCAGCCTCTTCTCCCTCTCGCTCCTCCCTCTCATCTCTTTCCTCTTCCTCGCTTTCATCGTTACGACCTTCCCCTTCCGCCTCTTCCCCATCCCCGGACAGCACCCGCAGCAGCGCTCTCAAGAATACAGCTCGGTTGGGGATGGTGGTGGGGATGGAAACGGGTTTTGCAGGCAACACGCGTGTGAGTTCACGAGGCTGATCCCCTTGCTGCACCCTTTGCTGCTCCTCTTGCTGCTGCTGCTGCTGCTGCTGGGCCAGCTGGGTCAGAACCGCTTGGTATACGGATTGCTGGGAGCCGCAGGCGGAGGTGAGGGGGAGGTAGACGTGGGGACGGCGCATCCGCGAAAGCGCCGCGCGGATCACGGCGGTTTTCCCCGTGCCTGATGGCCCACAGAGGAAGAGAGGCGGCATGCGATCGAACGGTCCTCCGACATGCAGAAGAATGTCCTCGATCTGCCACGTGGCGTGCGAGATAAGCGGTGGTAGTTGAAATAAGGGGACGGGAGAAAAGGTGAGAGGGAGTTAAAAGCAGGAAGGATCCTAGAGAATCAATATTTACACTGGGACTGCCAGAGAAAAAACGCGGATTCAGTAGGACCCCAATAGACGGTGTATTCAAACGGGCGTTAAGATAAAACAATGAAAATTTTTGGGTCAACGTGAGAGTGACGAGAAGAGAACCAGCAAAAATGGTATAATATCTTCGAAACATCCCAAACGCGACAGGAGAGTTACGATGTGACAAGCGAATCTATGGTTGCATATCGCATTCTGAAGACCGGACAACAAATATGATGATCGGCCTGCTGACCTGTCGTTTCCGGCAGGAAAATCTTGAACGAAGCTCCGCCGCAACTTCCCTCGCGTCCATCTCGTTTCGCTGTAGTTAATGTACGACACTAAGTCTACAACATACGAGCGTTTCCACCGCCGCTACCAACAGTTTCCGCGAGGCGGTGCGAAGCCGCAATGCGGAACCTTGGCTTACGAACGACCTGCTGCTACATCGACGTGCTGAACTCGGTCGAGTCACCAGAGATCAATCTGCCAGAGTTGAAGTATAGATTAACAGCCCATGTCCACCACCAAGTAAAGACCTTTTGCGCCTATATATGAAGATAAACCTCGCTGAATGCACCGCAACGTTAGAGCTGTAAACTGTGTACTCCGTTAATTCAGAAACGGATAAACTTGACTGAATCCCTCAAGCCGGCTCAGGTATGCAGTCAGGCTGGAATCGACTTGAAAGAGAAGGTACGGCCATCCAAGACTAAAGCCGCGCGAAGAGCGGGTTCAGTCGAGAACAAGAGAAACCAGCTGAGGGATTTCGGTAGAAAGAACCTGGTTTTCCACAAACATGAGTGCAGAAGAAGCAGACATGCGGAAAGGTGGAAGTTGGAGGGAGAGGGTGAAAGGGCGAAAGTCGAGACGCGCTTTGAGATGAATGAGAATCCCAATGCCCGAAAATGCATGCAACATTTGGCGGGAAGGCTTGAACGGCTTCCTAAGAGTACACCGCAATTATCATTAATTGATTATCATTGCAGCTAACCTCGTTTCGAGAAAAATGCGAATCGTCTGGTTACCCAAGTTCGATGTTCTCGTTTCGCCACCCACAGTCACCACGAGCGAGTGCTTGATCCAAATATCACGCCCCTTGGTGTCGCCAGAGGCCAATTTTGTTCAATCCCCCATCAATCCCATCCATCCCATCTGCCATGCTCCCACCCCACTCCACCGGATCTCACCACTTCAAACAAAGTGCTTCTCGCCACACTTTCTGATCAGCAACAAGGCAGCATTGCTGACAAGATCCTACATCCTCACCAATTCGTTTCCTTTCCCACGGTTCCTCCTCCGCATTGCGGCTGTAACTTTTTTTTAATAATCGCGCAATACGCCATTGCTCCGTAATTCACTTTTTGTTAGTGAAATCAGCACAGAAAGTGCCTCTGACCAGGACCGGTGCGCATAGCTTCAAGTAACTATCAGGTCTCTTTGCTGCATAAGCAGTTTTTTTGTCAGAATGGCCGGGCGGAGGAGCGGCCAAGGGGAAAACGCTCTGGCAGCGGCAGGTCGCCACGTGTCGGGAGTGGGGAAGCACGTGGAAGGCGCGTGTCGCGCCATGTGGGTGGAAGTGTCCAATCACGGGCAGAAGCGCGAGTACCAGCTTGTGGGGGGCGGCGGCGGTTTGATTGAAGTGAGCATTCTTATAGGGAGGGAAGAGGAACGCGGTTATTAAGAGGGGGTTGAGAGAGTGTGGGCTGGGAAAAGGCTTGAGGAATTAGAGAGGCTTAAGCCATGCAAGCGGCTTGACTTGCTTCCTCTTCCCCCCTCCCCTCCCCCTCCCTCCCCATCCTCTTCATTATGTAATCCGGACATGCAATGCCTTGGTAAAGCCCTTTCGGTCCCCATCACCTGTTCTTCCACCATGCAAAAATTCACCCAAACCTGTTCTTCCTTTCACCACATTGCATGCGACCTGCCATTTCATGGCATGGTATGGCATGGTGTGGCATGGCATTTCACGGCATGGCATGGCACGGCATGGCACGGTATGGCATGGTATGGCACGGTATGGCATGGCACGGCATGGCACGGTATGGCATGGTATGGCACGGTATGGCATGGCATGGCATGGCATGGCACGGCATGGCATGGCATGGCACGGCATGGCATGGCACGGCATGGCATGGCATGGCATGGCATGGCACGGCATGGCATGGCATGGCATGGCATGGCAGGGGCACATAGTACCGGACACGCGATCCATCCCCGATCGCCTCATAGCATCCTTCAAGGACAAGTTCTTCCCCATGGGGTATCCTGACAGGTAGGGCTACCCCAGCAAGTAAGGTATGTGGTACCGAGCACCCATAGCACATGCTCGCTCTCTCTCCCCGATCGCCTCATAGCATCCTTCAAGGACATGTTCTTCCCCATGGGCTACCCTGATAGGGCTTTCCCACTCCTGGACCCCTCCACCCCCAACCCCTCCCACTCTGGCCCCAACCACTCCCCCCCCTCTCTCCAGCGTTGCGGAGGGCTACATGCTATTTTCGCAGTACAGGGGCATTCAGCACATCGCTGTGGCGGCTCTCAACGTGCTCTCCACACAGGTAAGCGGCGGGTGGTGCTTATATCGAGTACTTTAGTATGGATAGCAACACATCCCTCTCACGTTACCTAATCACTGCTACTCTCACCCACACTCCAGCATCACATTCACTCCCTCGTCCACCACCCCCCTTTTCCCAATTCTTCCACTCTTCTTCCATCACATTCACGGCGTGCAATGCAGCAATGGGTTCGTCTTATCTCAGAACCCATACCATCCCTTGTGCCCCCACCTTCCCCACCCCGTCCACCTCTCTTTCATCCCACCTCCTCCCACCAGTCGCTGTTCTTTGCAGCAGACCTCCGCCCCACGCCAGCACAGGCCACGATAGTGAGCTGGGTGGTGAAGGACGGGATGCAGCATGCCAGCAAGCATCAATACCTCCTCCCTTGCTCCCCCTGCCCGCTCCCACACCCCAGTCTCTCTTCTTTGCAGCGGGTCTCCGTCCCACGCTAGCACAGGCCACCATAGTGAGCTGGGTGGTGAAGGACGGCATGCAGCATGCCAGCACTGGGAGCACATGCATACCTCCCCTCTCTCTTCCTGCCACCCTCCCTCCCACCAGTCCCTCCTCTTCGCAGCAGGCCTCCGCCCCACGCCAGCACAGGCCACCATAGTGAGCTGGGTGGTGAAGGACGGCATGCAGCATGCCAGCAAGATCGCTGCAAGCCGCCTCGGGCGCAGCATGGATGCCGATCCCAAGCGCTGGCGCGTGGCTGCTGACGTCGTGTGTGACGTGGGGGCGTTCCTTGAGTGCCTCTCCCCCTTGATGCCCCACCGCTTCCTGCTGCTCGCTGGGCTTGCCAATGCCGGGAAGGTGAGCTTGGGGCCGTGTGTTGATGCAGACTTGAGGCGTTGAAAAGATCTTTAGGCGCCTCATTACATGCCAGCAAGATCGCCGCAAGCCGTCTCGGGCGCAGCATGGATGCCGATCCCAAGCGCTGGCGCGTTGCTGCTGACGTTGTTTGCGATGTTGGCGCCTTTCTTGAGTGCCTCTCCCCGCTCATGCCGCACCGTTTTTTGCTGCTTGCTGGGCTCACCAACGCCGGGAAGGTGAGTGTGAGAAGCCGTGTGTTGATGCGTTTGATGCTCTCTGGGATGCTATTTTTGAGACATCTCAGAAACAGCCGTCTCGGGCGCAGCATGGACGCCGATCCCAAGCGCTGGCGCGTCGCTGCTGACGTTGTGTGTGACGTGGGGGCGTTTCTTGAGTGCCTCTTGCCACTCATGCCCCACCGCTTCCTGCTGCTCGCTGGCCACGCCAACGCTGGGAAGGTGAGTGAGATACATGTCTGTCCCTCCCCGCTCCCCGCACCTGGCGGATGTCATTTCTTTGTCTATTGGTGCTCCTGCCTTTCTCAAGTGCCTCTCCCCGCTCATGCCTTACCCCTTCCTGCTGCTCGCTGGGCTCACTCACCAACGTGGGGAAGGTACGAGGGGGCATGTCTCGTGGTTGTGAGACGTCTCAGAACTATATTAGTTTTGAGAGGTCTCAAAACTAACGTGGGGAAGGTAAGAGGGGGCATGTCTCGTGGTGGGGCTGGCTGGAAGAGCAGCAGGGCGCTCCAATCGTCGTCAATGCTCGCAGGTCTCGAGTGCCTTTCTTGGGTGCCTCCCTTCCACTCTCCCCACCCACCCTGCTCACCACAGGGCCTCTCCCTGGTGATAGCTCGCGCCATTCGACTGCCTCTGTACGACGCGTTTGCAAGGGAGGGCAACATCAGCGACCTGCATGCCAAAGTGGGGCCCCATCAGTGTCCTCTCCTCCCTTCTGTTTCCCCCACCCACGCACTCTCCCCACCACAGGGCCTCTCGCTAGTGATAGCTCGAGCCACCCGCCTGCCTCTATACGACGCGTTTGCAAAAGAGGGCAACATCAGCGACCTGTACGCAAAGGGAGAGGCCATCAGCGTCCTCTCCTCCCTCGCCGGCCTTGCTCTCGGCCTCAAACTTGCCTCCTCCGTCTGCCAGACAGCACAAGCTAAGGTAACCATATGTCGACTTAGAGGTCAGTTCCTTCTCCTTCCTCACCGGCCTTGCTCTCCGCTTCAAACTCGCCTTTTCCATCTGCCAGTCAGCCCACGCCAAGGTAATGCTCCTCTAATTGTTTGCTCCTCTAATTGTTTTTTCCACTGCTTCTTTGTGTCTCTTTTTTTAATTTCCCCCCAATTCATCTCCTCGTCCCGCCATGCTCCACCAAGTCTGTCGACTCACCTTTCCCCACGGTTCCACCCACCTGCACCTACAGCTGGCAGCAGTGCCGGTGCTGGCGGCGGTGCATCTGTGGTCGGTGACAGGAGAGAACCGTGCCCATTAACACTCTCAAAGCATTTCTGAGAAATCTCAAACGTATTTTTCAACACCCCACAGCTGGCAGCGGTGCCGGTGCTAGCGGCGGTGCATCTGTGGTCGGTGACAGAGGAGATGAGGGCCGTGCCCATTAACACTCTCAACGCTCAGCGCACCAACGTGCTCATCAACCATTTCCTCTCCGTGAGTCGCCGAGTGCTTTTAATAGCTCTCCTTGGAGCTCATCAGAGCAGCAAGCTATCGAGCACAGCAGATATGCGGCAGCGTTTTTTGTTGAAATGCCTGGGAAAAATGTTTTCATGTGGTTTCTGACATTATCCCTCCCCCCCAATGCCCCCTCTCCTCTCCTCTCCCTGGTGCGAATCAGAGTGGCGAGCTACTGAGTCCAGTGGACATGCGGTGGAGGGAGAACATTGTGAAGCCCGACCCGCCGCTCACTCTGCCTACTGCCCACCGCCCGGCTTTGAGACGTCTCAAAACCCCAAACCCCGCTCCCCTCCCCTCCCCCTGTGCATCAGAGTGGCGAGCTACTGAGTCCAGTGGACATGCGGTGGAGGGAGAACATTGTGAAGCCCGACCCGCCACTCACACTGCCTGCTGCCCACCGCCTCGCCCTCCCGCCCGCTCCACATGGCATCAAGACCAGCAGTGCTAGGACCAGCAGCACTGCTACCGCCACCACCACCACCAGCACCACTGCCACCACTAGCACCAATAGCAGCAGCAAGATGAGCAGCAGCAGCAGGTTGTGTGTGGGTGCTCCTCTTTCAGAAGCCCTGGGGTCCCCAAGCAACCTGGCGATGCTGAAACAACTGTTCTCCAATGAAAAGTTTCTTCTCAGCTGCCCGGAACGGGACACAGCAGGTGGGGTGCCACGAAAGATGCATCTGATCCTGCACAAGACAGCGGACGGCCAGGATGCAATCAAAGGATGGCTGCTAGCGTCCTGCATCAGCCAGGCAATCAGCAGAAAGGCGCAAGTCACTGGAAAGGGCAGCATGGGTGGTGGTGGATGGGGTGAATGGGAGGGCAGTGTGCGGGAGGCATATGGTGAGATGGAGGAGCTACTGCCACATATGCTCAGGGGGTTGAAAGACATGGGATGGCACACTCACTCGTTCCTGCAGGGCTCCACAGCTCGGAGGGCAGTGTGGTGATGATTTCTGGTACCGTACATATGTGTGTATGTTACTGCATCTCTCATCTCTTACTGTATGAAACCACATGTAATTGTAGAACAGGTATTCATGAAGCCATTTCAATCTAATACCGTAACCAAGACACGGAGGTCAAGAAGGTCATTGTATTATCCCTGTAAAGGGTGTGGATAAAACGACAAGCCTAGCTTGTAAAACTATGTACAATCCTAGCTGGTGCATCCAGCCAATAGCACGACATGATAACAAATGTACGACATGAACAAACGAATATAAGGCCGTTTGAACTTCACAAGGTGCCAACGCCAGTTCTCTTGGTTTCCGGCTCTAATTCAGGCTCTAGCTCAGGCGGCGGAGTGAATTCCGGCGAGTCTAGGTCTGCCAGGTTCTTGAGATCGACCACGGATAGCATGTCCAGCTTGCGAACCACCAGATCCGCAGCACCCAACTCATAGACTGGGTGCCTTCCTGCAACGGTAACAACCTGAGCGGAGAATAAACAAGGATGTGTCAGAAATTTAGCACAGCCGGGTACAGATGCGGGAAGCGGGGGATCGAAGGGAAAGGGTATATACCTTCATGTACGCATCGTGGGCCGCTTCGATAGTGGAGTTGGAGCTGCCAATGACGATGCAACGCTCCGGAATAAACTGCAGTCGCTGTGCGGCATACTGTAACACACAAAAGTGAAAGAGTAACGCAGTAGTTTACAAGTTAGTGACTGAAACAGAATCTGCAAGTGTGTTCACTTTCAAACAAAGAGAACCTGCAGCAACAATGGACTTCAAGCGGCAGGAAAAAAAAAAAAGGACCAACCTGGTACATCTCAGGATCCGGCTTTCCTCTCTGCACGTCATCCGCGGAAATGACAGCATCGAAGAAGCCCTCCATGCCCACAGCCTCGACCGCTCGCTCCAAGTATCTCGCCGGACGAGTCGACACGATCGCCACCGGGATCTTGCACCGCTTCAGAGTGTCCAGAAATTCTCTGGAGCCGGGGAGAAGCCTGTAGCAACCTCCCTGAAACTGCTCATACAGCTCTTCTTTTCTCTGTGACAATCTCCTCACGGTCATGAAGTCACGCGACCAGCAAAGCACCTCGCGAATAACCTGCTCGTTTTTCATGCCCTCTGCCCTCTTAAGAATCCAAACAGGAGGCTGAGGTCGTCCTTCCTCTTCCGCAAGAGCTATCCACGCCTGTCGTTCGAACGCAGAACCATCATCAATCATTACCCCCTCCCACTCCAGCAGAACAGCCAACCATCCGCAACCCATACGCTCCAGTCTCCTCAACGGGTTGTGCAGCGACAAATCGTCAGCCCTGTCACTAGGTACAAGAGTACGCGAAGGAACCTGTGGCATCTGAGGAAAATTCTCCTTCAAGAAGCTCTGAGCTTCCCAAGGCTTGAAACGAGGCTCGAAAGTCGCTTCCTCCATCGCCTCCATGGCGGACTGTACAGGCACGTGCCTCCGTCGCTCCGCTTCGTTCCATGATGAGCTCAACCTGGCATTGCTTTTAGGGAGCCTAGCAGGGAATAGAGCTCTGCTGAATGACGCTGATTCGTTTGAGCGGACGTTGCAGCTGAAGCTTATACCTGCTAAACTGCAAAGCTGCTGAGAAGTCACCGTCACCATGCCGCACAAGCGCAGCAATGAAAAGTACAGACACAAGAAGACGGAGCGGAACGAGAGTGAAGCAGTCCTTGGCCAATTCGAGGCTGAAGAATTAAGATGGGGAAGAGTGAGTGAGAAGTGGGGATTGGAACAACAGTTAGGTTCAGCAGCAGCATATGAGCAATGAGCCGAGGGAGTTGGAGCGAAAATGATGGAGGTAAGGGATGCAATGCAAGGAGGTGGGGCTGAGGGCAAGCAAGCAGAAACCAAACCCTACCAAGCCTGAGTTGCTTCGGGCCCGACAGCTCCGGCCGAACCGAAATTGCCATAAACGTCAGTTCAGCCACGATCACTTAGCCAAACAGCACCTGCCCGAAGCAACAAGATAATTCAGGTTTTGACGAGTTCGAGCGCAACCCAGCATTGTGGGCACCTGACACGGTCTGAACCAGGAAAATGAAAATGGCACATTCTGGGCATTTTCGACCAGCGATCCATTTTCGTGGGGCAGATTCAGGAAAAGCAACAGCTGTATCTGGTCATGTGGAAACAGATTCCATTTGGGATCGAGTAGCAATGACCTGGACGGATGATGGGCTGAAGGGGCTGGAGGCAAGGAATACCTGCACACCCAGGCTTCAGGGATTCTCGCAACACCATTCGTCATAAACAGCGTGTTTCCCGCTTAAAGATGGGAAAGTAAACAATACGGGCCTATTAGCCACCATTTCCACGTGACGCTTCGTGGAATCAGAGGGAGCCACGTCGCAGATCCTGCTGGCGGAAGTGCTTGTGTCACACGCAACAAACCGCAATGACCATTCTATTGCAACTCTCGCGTTGCAGAATCGCATTGCAACTCTACAGTAAATGTTCTTCACACGATTATACCTGGGACGGTTGAAAGCTGAGAAAAACAAGGTCTCACGTTCATGGTAGCACTAACGTTCATACAGATCCATACATGATTTTACAACCAGACATCACCGTCTACAGAGGACAATGACTGCAACAAATCATCATCTAAAATAATTCCTTGCGACAACTGAAACAGCACAAGTGAAAGTGCCATGGATGCCCCAAAAGCAGCAGCCAGCTTCTTGGAGTCAGCTGGTTCCACCACCAGCTCATAGGAATCCTCCTTTGTTTTCTGGCTGAGCAGAGAGTTGAGCAGCCCTTGTTGCCGCTTCACTGCCTCCTCATTGGATATCTTCACTTTGCGCATGGACGGAGCTGCAATGCTGCCGAACAGAAAGCCTGCCAGTGCTGCTCCAGCGTGGGTGCTGTGGTGGGGGGGATGGGGGCATGGGGGGGAGAGCTGACAATGAGACCTTGTTCACATATCAAGCAAGGAAGGTGGGTGTAGGAAGTTCGTCACAAGGGGCGGGTGAGACGCATAGGGGGAACACAAGGGGCTGGTGAGGTCACAGGTGCGAAGTGAACAGGCATGCCCATACAGATGACGTGACGGCACAACCATCTGTCTGAGTGGGGTGCAAGGACAGCATTGCCTGTGCAGTGCAAACCTGTGGTACGAGCCTCCCTGTAGCAAGCCCATCTGAGTGATAACGGCGTGCACGAATGTGCTTCTTTCAAAAGTTGAAGAAACATGCTACAAGAGGAGAGGTGGCCTGTCACTCGCCAACGCCTCACGGACAGAAGGAGAAGACACCATCTCCCTTATCGATCACGAGGGGCCAACCGAGTGTGGCACTCACGAGGGGTCGATGGGCAGGGGGTTGGCAAAGAGAGCGAAGAGTGCGGCAATGATGAGCGACTCGCGCACGTTGCTGTCCGCCGTCTCCGTGCCGATCACCTCCCGGTTCTTTATCAGAAACGCCGCATACGCTGCTGCCACCCCGTACACTGGGCCCTGCAGTAATGCATTGCCATGGGTGACAAACAGGAGCAATCGGGCATAGAGGAGTGTGAGGGAGAAGTCTGTGCGAGTGTGGGGCTGTTTTTGTAACCATGAAGCTCTGGAGGTGAACAATGAGACGCCGCCATACAAGAGGTGAGTTGCTGTGGCTAAGGAGACAGGGGGAGCAGGGGGAACGCCTAAGGGAGGGAGAAAAGAGAGGGAATGGGACCCTCACCGTGCCGCCAACGGTAACGTCAGGCGTCTGCAGAAACGAGGTGATGTTGCCTGCGAGTCCAGAGGAGAAGTACACTGCAAGCAGACCCAGGGGGCCGATGGCGAACTCCAACACACTGCCGAGGCCCAGCAGGAAGAACGTGCCCACTGACAGGTGGATGATGCCTGCGTGCTGTCAGAGGGTGTGTGGTGGGACAAGGGGGGAAAGAGGGTACATGGAGCGGGGAATTGGGGTCCTGAGTACAACAGACACTGTTACCATTCCCAGCAGGAAGAATGTGCCCACTGACAGATGGATGATGCCCGCGTGCTGCCAGTGGGTGGGGGAAGGGTGGAGCGAGGGAGGTGAGGTGTATGTGGGGGGGGGGGGAGGAAGTAGGGTGGGGATGGATGATGATGGTGATGGGTCCAGAGTAAAGCAGACACTGGCAATGACAGGCAGGAAAAACGTGTCCATTGAAAGATGGAAGATGCTAGCATGCTGGGAACGGGAGGTTTGGGAAGTGGGAAGGGATGAGGAGTGGGTGCGGGTAAGAATGGCAAGGGGAGGAAACAGAAAAATACGCCGTCAAAAGTTGGAAGCAGGAAGGATAGGAAGGTGGCGGGTGGGGAGGTGGATGTACGAGGAGGGAGGGCGTGAGGAGACGCCACCACTCGCCGGCCTCGATGAGCGGGTCGAGCTTGGCGGCCAGCAGCGCTGACAGACATTTGAATTAACTCAATATTCAAGGTGGCTTTTGAGTCGACTCAAAAGTCAAGGAGGCCGGAGGTGGACGTATTCGTACGAGGAGGGAGGGCGTGAGGAGGCGCCACCACTCGCCGGCTTCAATGAGCGGGTTGACCTTGGCGGCGAGCAGCGCTGGCAACGACGTGGTGATCACCCCCGGCACCGCCTCGGGACTGGCGAGCTCAAAGAGGAACACCGCTATGTTGATCGCCACTAGCGTGTAGCTGATGAAGGGCGGAAGGGGAAGGAGGGGAGGGAGGGAAAGGGGAAGAGGGAAAGGGGAGAGGGAGCGGGAGTGAGGGGATGCAGAAAGTAGAAATCGGACTGGCGAGCTCAAAGAGGAACACCGCGATGTTGATCGCCACTAGCGTGTAGCTGATAGTGGTGATAGGGGAAGGAAGGGAGGGAAAGGGCGGAAAGAGGGCGAAAGGGAACAAGAGTGAGGGAGCGCGTAAGGGTAGGAGCGGGGCTGGCGAGCTCAAAGAGGAACACCGCAATGATGACCGTCACTAGTGTGTAGCTGATAGCGTTGAAAGAGGGAATGGGCAGGGAGGGGAGCTGAGGGAAAGGCGGAAAGGGGGGAGGTGAACGAGAGTGAGGGAAGGACCGTTAGGGGGAAGGCAGAAGGTAGGAATGAGACCATACGCGAGTGTCACTCAACACTCATTCGCCACTCACTCATTAGAGCGAGTACCCAGCATAAGGCTCAATCCCTCAAATGACGGCCAACAGAGATGACATGATCCCGCTCACTCACTCACACGACCCTGTGCACTCCCTCCCGCACACGCCACTTCCCTCTCACTCACTCTCATGCCACTGTAATCTCGCTCACCAAACGACCCTCACACACACACTCGCACCTCGCGGGGCATACTCACGCGGCGGTGGGAGCAGAAACGGCAGCATGGGGGGAATCTAGGCATCCAGCAGGTGGCGGGGCTCCATGAAAGGAAGGTTCATCTTTGAGGCGCCTAAAGTAGAATTGAAAAAAACTCACACGGCGGTGGGAGCAGAAACGGCCGCTTTGGCGGAGATCCAGTCGTCCAGCAGGTTGCGCGGGCCCATGATGGCCTCCAGAGTCAGGTCCGACACCTTGCCTGAACGGCGAACACAGGGGTGCAGTGTGGCGCAGAGCACATGAGAGGGACGACCGCTTAAGAAAACGAAGAGGAATACAGACGCGAGTGACGAACAGAGGCGTGAAAGAAATACTCGGGCACAAAAGGAACGGATGGCAAGACTCATTGGTCAGGAAGCGAATAATCAAATAATCCAAATCACGACAAACGAAGAGCCCAATCGTACGCAGACAGGTCAGCGCACTCGAGACGAGAAAAGACGGCTTTTTGCCATATACTATTCACTCCGTTATTGAAATTTGCTCACTCGTGTTCTCATCTTCCGTATTCCTTGTTTTGCCATCTGTTGTTGATTAATTTGTCATTAGGCGCAGTAAAGCATAACGAGAGGCACAGCATGATGACCAGGGAAGCATCACGAGCAGCGACTCACTGTCAAGCGCGCCACTGCCCTTCTTCTTCTCCACGTCCTCCACAATCCGCCTGATTAGCTCCTCCACCTCCTCCGCCTTCAGCTCCTTGCTTCCGCCGCTCTCCTCCGCCTTCAGCACCTTCTCCGCCTTCTCCGTTTTGTCCGCCTCCGCACCCTTGCTGCTGACGTCAGCCTGCGCTGTTGAAGACGCGGCTGCGGGTGCCTGCGAGGCAGCTGGTGCTGCAGCGTCCGCCTTTTTCTCTGCGGGACGGAATATGGAGGAGGCGGGTGTATGAGGTGTTTCGTTTTGCGGAGAGTTACGCAAAACGGCGCACGATGTCTGACAAACACAGCGAGACGCGTAAAAGACTAGCAAACAAAACATATATATACGAGGCGTAGCGCCTAAGGGCAGAACGCAACGTGGGGAAGAGCAAGAAAACGTACCTTTACCCGCGTTGAGCTTGTCGAAGTACGAATTCAGGGAGCTCAGTGCTTGAAAGTCCTTGGTGCCTTTCTTCTTCTCCGCCGAACTGCTCGTATCAGCGGTGGCGGATGACGCTGTCGAAGTCGCGCTGGCGGCAGGCGATGCAGCAGTCTCTGCTGATGCTGCAGCAGCTGCAGGCGCAGCCACGGCTTCCGCGGTTTGTTGCCCTTGTGTTTGATTCTCTCCGCTGCTGCTGCTGCTGCTGCTGCTGGAAGAGCCATTCAGCTTGGCAAAGTACGCGTCGAGGCTCTTCATACTCGAAGGAGGAGGCGGAGAAGACGGAGGCGCGTCTGCTTTAGGAGAGCCTGATTGGTCCGAGTCATGGCTCGGTCGTTGCTGGTCTTCGGAAGCTCTAACCCCAACGCCATTTTCCTTCTCCTCCGCTACAGTTGTTGTCGACTCCGAGCCTCCAGGCAGAGCACGAAGCCGGGACCGACGCTGCGAGTGTAATGAAGAAATTCTTGCTCCTCCGAGTGTGACGGACCGAGCTTGGGATTCGCTGGAGCGAAGATGCGCGAAGCGGGAAGCGGATGGTGGCACACGAGATGGCGAAACGACGGTTGATACGGAATTAGAACACGAATTTCGGAATCTTGAGTCACGCGGCGGTAAGAGGCGATGGCCATGTGCAGCTGCCGGTCTGGTAAGTGAAAGGACTGTAGATGACATTTTTTTCCAAAAACCGTGGAAATAAGTTGTCTAGAGAGGAACAAGGAACCACAACGCTCGTCTAGGTTTGAGGGAAATTACCGAATATCCTCAAAGCTACGAGCGCAACGCAGGATGAAGCACTTGCTGGGTAGGAACCAAATGACAGCCTGATCAGTGCACAACATGAATGTGAAGCTGGAACAATGTGCAGGAGTTCCCAAGGCTCCACTGAGATAAAAATGGTTGTGCTGCAGCAAACACAAATGGTTGTGAAATGATGTGATTGTAGTGAGGGGAGCCTGGAAAAGGGGGTGAGTGGTGCTGTGGAGAATCCCCCCCAGATGCGCACAACACATTCGATCAAAGGGACTGCCTGAAACAGGCTAGTGAAAGCAACCTCATGACGGGACAGAACAGAGGGCGATGGAGGTCGTCCTGTCATTGGACGCCTCCGCGCAGAGCACTTTACTGATCTTACACGTCAGCCTCGCGTGCGATGAGAGGTGCAATTCTGGCAGCACCTGACCACCTCTAAGCCGACGTGTCAGTAACCACTTCTGTCGATGTGGCGAAGTGGGGTTGTGGGGGTTGAATGCTGGGATTGCGTAGCATGTTGCCCCAAAATTGAAGGAAAATACAGGGAGCTCCGCTGGAAGCAAACCGCTTTCGAGAGCAATTAGCTGTAGACTAGTTTTGAAGCATGACGTTCTATTTGAGCTGTTTTGCCTGTCATAACACTGCACACTTTCTCCATTATCCCTAGAAGTTCCAGAAGTTCTATAACCAGGAAGAGATTCATGGACATACAATGATGAAGGCATAAAATATGCCACGTAATTTATATATTACATGTGGTGTATCTCTCGTTTGTATGCTGGTTATGTGGTTACTGGATAAGTGTTACGAGTGCAATTGAGTGAGCGAGCGAGGATTGCACTATCGAGGCAAGAATCCAATGAGCGAAGAATTGAGCGAATAATATATAGCGAAGCTACAGTGGTAACGGTAACGTGTGGGAAGTGGGGTGCGCGACGGGCCTGGTGCCGAGGTTGGGGGACTGTCGAGGCGGAGGTCTGGAGCGCGGGTTACCAACCGAACCGTGAGGTTGGGTCGCATCGTGAACAGTGGCGGGAATGGGATCGAGGCGAATGTCGCGAGTGGTAATGAGATATTGTGGGGTGCTGTTGGCGGGAACAGTGGTGTACGCGCTGAGCAGGGACGTGAAGTAGGAAAAGTGATTTTCCTTACATTACCCCCCCCCCCCCCCTTAAGGAGGCCTCTCTTACGAGAGCGCGTGTACATCCCGAAAGTTCCAGCTGCGCAGATACTCGGTGAGGACAGGGTGTTGAATAGTAAGATTAGGGCCTAGGCTTAGTAGCCTAGGCCAAAGGGAGTCGAGAGAGTTTAGGCAAAAGAGGGGGGAGTTCACTATGGAGCGAGGTACAAATAACAAACAAAACATGCAAAGAAGGTGCACCACCAACAAGTTTATAATAACTACAGTAACTACAGCTACAGGCAGTTACAGATATATTCTAACACTCCCCCATAACTGCCTGCAGCAGGAGTCTGTGCAGCGACACATCCTGGATGGCTACACCACGAACAGAGAAAACAACAACAGCAGGCAAGGTAACAAAGCAGGTACAGCAGCAAAGGGGCAGGCACTCCTGCCACCCCTTTACTCTCCTCCCCCCCCCCCCCACCTCAGAGGGACGGGGGCTGATTGGTCTCACACCCGCCACCCCAATGCCACTCCCCTGGCTCCCCCACACCCTCACACCCTCCCCCCAGCGGCAGCTGCAGCAGTGGGAACGAAAGGAGGAGGAGGGGAAGGGAAACATACCACCCATCACCCCCATACCCGCCACCCCCAGACCCTCCGTTCCACGGCTGCACGCGCAGCAGGGAGACGAAGAAAGGGGGGGGGGGGGGGGAGAGCAGCAACGGGCAGCACAGGCACGGGCAGCAACGGGCGGCAATGGGCAGCACAGGGTCCAGGAACGGCGTCGCATGCAGCTGCAGGGTCGGCACCGTGGGGTCCAGGGGCGGCGTCGCGGGGTCCAGGGGTGGCTGCACCAGGGGCGGCTGCTCCAGGGGCCAGGGGCGGCTGCTGAGGTCCAGGGGCGGCTGCTCCAGGGGCCAGGGGCGGCTGCTGAGGTCCAGGGGTGGCTGCACCAGGGGCGGGTGCTTCAGGGGCGGCTGCTCCGACGCGCGGCCCCCACCAGGTCGCCCCTCCCGTCGCCTGTCGAGGCGACCTGGGGGGGGGGGGCGCGCGCGACAGGCGACGAAACCGCCGCACGCCTCGGGGCGCACGACGGGCAGGCAGGGCACCGTCGCGCGCCACGGGGCGCACGACGGGCAGGCAGGCAGGCAGGCAGGGCACCGTCGCGCACCTCGGGGCGCACGACGGGCAGGCAGGGCGGCGCGACGGGTAGAAAAAAAAAAAAGGCGCGCGCCCGAGGCGCGCGATAGGCAGGACAGCAGCGGAAGACTAGGTGGGCCCGTTAAGGAAGGCAGCAGGAAGGTGCCTGCTCTGAATACCATGTTGAATAGTAAGAGTAGGGCCTAGGCTTAGTAGCCTAGGCCAAAGGGAGTCGAGAGAGTTTAGGCAAAAGAGGGGGGAGTTCACTATGGAGCGAGGTACAAATAACAAACAAAGCATGCAAAGAAGGTGCACCACCAACAAGTTTATAATAACTACACTAACTACAGCTACAGGCAGTTACAGATATATTATAACACGGGGTGGTTTTCGATTTTGTCCAGTGGAACCCAACTGTCCTCGGTGGGCGTGCGATCTCTCCAGCGAATTAGAATTTAGACTTTTCGTGCTCCTCGTGGGTCACGAACTCTGTGGCTCAGAATTTTCTCGGGCGTGATGACTGGCTCGGTCGGTGGTCGTGTCATGCTGGCTTGGCGATTTCGGGCCAGTTGGCTGGTGGATGGAATGTAGGGGCGAAGCAGGCAGACGTGGAAGGACGGGCTGACGTACCAGTCAGCGGGGAGGAGGAGGTGGGCGGTGACAGGCGTGATCATGTGGCTGATGCGGAATGGCCCGCAATATCGTGGGCGGAGTTTCGGCGTTATGGGTAGGCGGAGGTTTTGAGTGTCGAGTAAAACTAAGTCGTCGAGCTGGTAAGTGACGGGTCTGCGGTGGCGGTCGGTGTTGCGCTTAGCGATGACGTTGGCTTTTTTTATTGCCTCTGCTGCCCTGGTTCGTTCTGCCAGTAAAACTTGTGCGAATTGTTGCGCATGTGGTACTCGGTTGTCGGGATTCGGGGTCATGGGTACTGTAGGGTCTTGTCCGTAGTTCAGGTAAAATGGTGACTGTTGGGTCGTGGCGGATGGCGAGTTGTTGTACGCGAATTCGACGAGTGGCAGTTGCTGTTCCCATGTGGTGGGGTCGTCGCACGTGGCTCGGATTAACTCTTCCATGGTCTGATTTGTCCGTTCTGTCTGTCCGTCGATCTCGGGGTGGTACGAAGAACTGAACTGTTGTCTCGTGCCGAACTGCTGCCACAGGTTCCGCCAGAAATTGCTGGTGAATTTCGTATCGCGATCGCTGATTATTGCTGCTGATATCCCGTGTAATCGAACGATGGTTGCGATGAAGAGGCAAGCCGTTTCTTCGGCTGTGATTGATTTTTTGCAGGCTGCGAAGTGTGCCATTTTCGTCAGCCGATCGTCGACGACCAGGATCGCGTCGTTCCCACTTGCTCCCGCCGGTAACCCCGTGACGAAGTCCATCATCACCTGCTGCCAAGCACGCTCTGGAGGTGGTATCGGCTGCAATTGTCCTGCCGGTCGCTTCCATGATGATTTCATGACTTGGCCGGTGGGACACGATGCCACGTGTCGCTGCACGTCGGTCAGCATTTCGGGCCAGTAATAATACCGCTGCAGCTGCTGCCGTGTTTTTTCTACTCCGAAATGTCCTGAGGTGACTCCGTCGTGTGCCTCTTGCAACAGTAGTTCCCGTAGGAGCGTGTAACCTGGTACCCAGATGCGATCGGTGCCCGCTTTTACGTAATAGACTCCTCTTGCTGCTGCAAATTGCAACGAATTTCCGCCTGTAAAAAATGGGTCAGTCTGGTAACCGTGGGTAAATAGGCCTGTCAGTAGGGGGCTAGCTTGGGCGAGTAGTATGGCATGGAGTTGGGCTGTGGGCCGGGTTAATGCGTCGGCGATGTTCGATGCCCCCTTTTTGTAGGTGACCGTGTAGTGAAAATTCGACTCGAGGTAGTCGAGCCAGCGGATTTGTCGTGGGTTGAGGTGGGGTTGTGCGTGGAGGTACTGTAGAGATTTGTGGTCTGTCCGTACTGTCACGTCGGCGACGGTCAAGTAACAGCGCCACACTTTGAATGCATGCACGATCGAAAGCATTTCGCGATCGTGTATCGGGTGATTCTTCTCGGGCGGATGCAACTTTCGTGATTCGTATGCGATGGGTTGTAGACCGTTGCCGAAGTCCTGTAGCAGTACAGCTCCAATGGCGATGTCGCTTGCGTCGGTAACCACTTCGAATGGGCGGTGTGGGTCGGCGATGCGCAGTACAGGCGGTGAACAGAGAACATTTTTCAGGGTAGAGAAGGCAGCATGCT